CTGCTGCTTTCACTGACTGAAGGTCTCTGCTGAGGGCTGCCCCACTGACATGCTTCTGCCTGACTTGCCTTGGGCAGGGGAAGGGAGCCAATGGGTCCGGGAGTGGCCATGGCCGTGGCACAGAGGTTCTTGTCTAACGTGACTGTCCTAGGGATCTGGTGCGCTGAGAGTGGGATGGCTGGAACACCATTATTGTTCACCAGGTGGTCCCCAAACTCCTGGCACAGGGTGCTTCTGGGTGCCTTGAAGGGGTACACACCCTCATTATCTGCCTCAGAGCCTGTGAGGCTGCCTCTGGTGTGGCCATGGGAGGCCAGGCTCCAGGGGGTTCTGCAGGTGCCGCCTCTGAATTCTGTATTGTGCTGGCTCGGCTTGGAAAGGCTATGGAAGCCATGGATGTGACCGCTGACTCCATCGACACTGTATTGACAGTGCTGGGCAAGATTTTGCATGGCTGTGCTTCTCCTCAAGGGGAATGGGGCCCTGGAGCCCTGCGAGAAGCTGGCACTCCTAAGACAGAGAAAGAAGGGAAGGGGCAGGGGTGAGAGGAGGCCAGGACTGCCCCAGGGAGGCAGGCGGGGAAGTTCACAGCCCCATGTAGTGAGATGGTATGGAGAAAACACAGGAAGAGGAATTGGGCAGACCTGAGGTTTGTCTAGTTTGGGAGTTCACTACCTTGTGGCCTTGAGCATTTTCCCTTTCTGAATTAGTGTCTCCGTCTATAAAATGGTGATTAAAAACTCACTTTGCAGATTGCTTAGAAATCAGACTCTATTATATCTAGAGCTGGTATATCTATATCTGGGCTGTGATTAGCAGGGTGATCAGTTTCACCCCCACAAAACAGACAGCAGCAAGCCAGGTACACTGACTATTGGTTCCCTGCTGTGAGCATTCCAGAATGTGCATGTCTGAATGCCCAGGATGAGAAATGGTAGGGAGAGCTTTGAAGTGGGTGGCCGGAAGCAGCAAGCAAGTCATCTCATCTCTGAGTCTCAGTGTTACCCTGTAAAGTAAACCAGCAGCTCATAGGTGTCAATGTGGTTAAGTTATAAAGAACTATTCAGAAGTAAGCAACAGATTCATCTTCTACCAGGTATTACGGTGGTTAGAGAGGCAATTAGAGGAAAAAGTTTCTCTCCCCAGAAACCTAAACATCTAAAGAAAAAATGGTTTCCTGTTTGGCAACTACATTTGGGATGGAAAAAGGTTTGAAGCCAGGCACAGTGGCTCACACCTGTAATCTCAGCACTTTAGGAAGCCCAAACAGGCAGGTGGCTTGAGTTCAAGAGTTCGAGACCAGCCTGGACAGCATGGTGACAATCTCTCTCTTCAAAAAAACAAAACAAAAAAAATTAGCCGGGCATGGTGATATGCACCTGAAGTCCCAGTTACTTGGCTGGGAGGCTGAGATGGGAGGATGGTTTGAGCCCAGGAGGCCGAGGCTGCAGTGAGCTGAGATCATGCTATTGCACTCTAGCTTGGGCAACAGATCCAGACCCTACCTCAGAAAAAGAAAAAAGAAAAAGTTTTGAATTATTAAAATGTAGGTTTTGGGAGATAAGGCAAGTAGTAAAAAGAGAATCAATGAATGAGAAGGGAGCTGTGTCATGTTCCAACGCTGCCACTGATAAGCTCTGTGTGCCTTCCTGACTGCCCCAGACATGACCCGGAAATCACAGTGATTTCCAAGTGTCCATCTGGCTCTGCAGCTCTACAGCCTTCGGCTTTATGAGTGTGGTTTGAAACTGGGTTCTATGTTCTGTGTGGGTGCTCTGGGAAACTGGAGGATGTAGTTTTGAGCAAGTATGGATCTAGGTCTTCTTCCCTATCTTTTATATTATTATTCCTCCTAGGATTTAATGTAGGGAAAAAAGTAAGACTGGATCCTTATAGCAGTGGTTCTCAGCCTTTTCATGGCCACAGGCATCTTTAAAAAGCTGAGCAAAAGCTCTTGGGGTATCTCCCCAGAATGAGGCATATCTCACACACATGCATGTTTGCAAGCTGTTTCTAGGGGTCATAGCCCTCTGAGACCAATTCGTGGAACTGCCTCACTGGTGTGCTCTCAGCCTATGGAGAGCTTTCCCTTAGGGACGTGGCCAAAGCTGGCCCAGAAGCTTAGAAAAATGAAGGGAAGCAGGTGTTCAGACCAGGCTACCTCCTCTGTGAACACGGGCCACCAAGCTTCACACCCTTCCTCCCTGGGCCTCTGCATTCCTTCTCCCTTTCTATTCCTCTCCACACACAAGACCAAGCCAACAGCATGGGCCTCCATAACTGAACACGTGTCTCTAAAGCATGCTGTGCTTCACCAGCAGACACGAGAGTGGAGGAAGACGCAGGATCCTCATGTTCATATTTGTCTTTGGTGCCTTTCACTTGGTCTTCTGGAGTTGCCAGCTCTCTGGTAGATATGCCACCTGGATTTGCTCCTGTGATGTTGGCTCATGCCTCACTTTCCATCTAGGCCAGGCACAGCAGACACAGATGCCACCTGCCCTGCAGGACAGGCGTCACAGCAGTGGAGGAGGTGTCATGAACGCACACCACCGCAATCAGATGGGATGAGCACACGGCTACTGACAGATCTGGATGAGCCCTCCCTGGTGGTGGTCGAGACCACCAGGAAAGCCTTCTGCAAAGCCTTCCATCTGAGTGAGCCCAGAAGAATCAGCAGCAGCTGGCCAGACAAAAGTTGAGACAAGGGAAAAGCTGTTCCACTTGGAAACAGCAAGATGCAGAACACAGCCTGGCCGTTCAAGGGGCTGCAATCTGCTCGGGCTGAGAGATGACAGTGGAGGGGCCAGGCCAGCACTGAAGGGATCAGGAGCTTCGGAAAGACGTCAAGGTGGGGATGGAATGTGGGAAAGCACCTCAGGTGTCCTGCGGTAATCTCACACATATTCAGAATAAGCCCATCATCTTCCTCCTGAAATCTACCTCTCCTGATTGTTCTGTCTTACGATTGGCACCAGCCTCTCAAACCCAAAACATTGGAGTTACCCACACTCTCATTCACTCACCGGTCAGCCTTAGTGAGCCCACCCCACTCATTTCCTCCTGATCCTTCTTCTGGACCACAAAAGGTCTCATAACAAGTCTTCCTCACATCTTCCCAGGGCCTCTCCAGCCCTCTGCATCCTGCTATTTACCTTCCTAACCTCCCAGCTTGAACATCTTCACCACTGTCACAGAGACTTTAGGACGAAGTCCAAACTCCCAGCTTTACTCCATTCCATCTCTCCAGTCTTTTCTCCCTAGTTACACTTCCCACCTAGGATCCACTCAAACCAGATGTTACTGTGTCCTCAGCGTGCTCCTCAGTGACACTTCTGGGCTTTGTCCTGTTGTCAGCTGTCCCTGGATGGCTTTTGAGGTCCCTCTGGCAAGCTCCTACTCCATTTATCCTTCAAACTCAGCTCAAAAGGCACATTTTTAAAAGCCTCTCTTATATCCTCTTCCTCCAAGCGTAACCACTCACCTGCATAACTGTTCTTGGAGTAGCAGCAAATTGCTATCTGCATCACACTCCATTGTTACTTATCTCCTCCACCAGACTATGATTTCCCTGAGGAAGGAAACCCTGTCTTACTCATCTTTCTTTCCTCAGCACCCAGGTTAGTGCTTGTCACACAGTAAACAATGAATAAATGTTTGCTGAAGGAAGAAGCAAATGAATGCAAAAGTAAATAAAGAAACATGGGGTGTTGCCATCCTTTTTCCTGAGCTTGGCCCAAACACTTTGAACCAGCAGATCCAAACTCTTCCTCCTTAAACCCCACTTTCTTATGTCCCAACATCTGCCTGCCCAGGTCCTTTACTCCAGCTCAGATACTTCTCAACCCTGAGCACGTCCCACATGGTCTAAACCCCATCCCTGGGTTTGCATGCCTCATCTTGCCTTGGAATGCTTCTCTTCAAAATGTTCCACCAAGTCCAAAAGACTTTCTATCTACAAAAGAATTACTGGTCCCTAATTCTCCCTCCCATTTTAAGCACACCCTCCTCTGTGCCCCCATAGCACCTGGGCTCCCATCAGGATACGCACTCGCTCTGTCTTGTGTGTATTACCAGAGTCTCCCCACTCCCAGCAGACCCTGTGCTCTTCCTCCCTGTTCCCACAGCACCTGGGCTACCATCAGAACATGGATCTGTCTTGTGTTGCTCTGTCTTGTGTTGGTTTCTGGGTCTGTCTCTCTCTACTCCTAGCCAACCATGTCCTCCAAGACAGCAGAGGGCCACATCCTGTCCCCTGGAATTATGCCTGGCTTATGGTAGATGACACTGATGCATTTTGAGCAGGACTAATCATCACTTCAGGCATCAGGTAAAAGGTAATCAAGGGAAGCCAACATGCCCGAAATTACCTACTCAAAGAACAGGAGCACTGTGCCAGCACCCAGGGCTCTGGACACCCTGCTCAATCCCTGCTGCAGTGTGCTCCCCTTGGGCAAGAATCAGGAGGAGAACTCTGAGGACTCAGAGGTCTTGGGGACTCCATTACTGACATGCACACCCATGTGAGGCCAATGTTACTATGATGTCCTGCATTGCTTCTGTTGGATGGATACCTGGGAGCAGTGGATCTGGAGAGAGGCTTCTCTTCCAGGACTGCAGGCTGACAGAAGCCGCATAAAACAGGTAAGACCCTGTGTCAGGCGCATGACATGTGATGCCACTTTAATTCTTCCTAATAGGTCTGAGAGACACGTGTTACCCCTGCGTAGCAGATGAGGAAGGCAGTATATGGCCAAGTTGGTACAGGGAGACACTAAAGCACAAGGGCACAGGGTGCTTCCTGGAGTCAGCAAGCACTTTGGGAGGAAACACTCACTCCAGCCAGCAGCACACTGCACCTGCCCTCCTGTCCTAGGCTTCTGGCTGCACAGAGGCTGTGGCATGTGGGGCTGTCACATCACCTCCTGCATATTCTTTGGTGTCAATATCAACCCAGAGCTCTCCCCTGACTTAAAAATGGTTTCCTAGTTTTTGTAGCCACTTCCTTTTGCTCTTGGTCACTACATTTAAATAAATAAATAAACACTGTAAAAATCTAAATGATGGGTGGCTGCTAAGATGGCCAAATAGGAACAGCTCTGGTCTGCAGCTCTCAGCAAGATCAACGCAGAAGGCGGGTGATTTCCGCATTTCCAACTGAAATACCCGACTCATCTCACTGGGACTGGTTAGACAGTGGGTACAGCCCACAGAGGGTTAGCCAAAGCAGGGTGGGGCATCACTTCACCAGAGAAGCTCAAAGGGTTGGGGAATCCCTCTCCTTAGCCCAGGGAAGATGACAGGGACTATGCTGTGAGGAATGGTGCATTCTGGCCCAGATACTACACTTTTCCCATGGTCTTCACAACCCACAGACCAGGAGATTCCCTCGGGTGCCTACACAACCAGGGCCCTGGGTTTCAAGCACAAAACTGGGCAGCCATTTGGGCAGACTCCGAGCTAGCTGCAGGAGTTTTTTTCTACACCCCAGTGGTGCCTGGAATGCCAGA